GGAAACACATGCTCTGATGTCCAGTGACTCTTCAGTCCTGGGAGAAGGTCTGAACTGCTTCAGAGGCACCAGAGTCAGTTACCATGGTGATGTCCAAAGGAAAAACTGCTTCATATTTTCTTTTCTCTTTTCACTGAGAAACTAATTCACAGAAAGTAACATTTCACTTTAACTTAAAAAGGAACTTGAGTTTTTCCTCCCTGCCTCAGAACACTAACTTGTAAAGGAGGGGACTACTTATATCTCAGCTTCCCTGAAGAGTTTATATTTGGCATACTAAGGATATTTCCAACACCATTCCTTAAATTCCTTTAAAGACCTCTCCCATTTACTGCAGCACTTGCCCAGGACTTCAATAAGGCCTTTTATTTTTTTCTTCACAAGCCTAAATATTCAAAGTTACTTGAAAACTGTGGTTTAAAAAAGAAGGTACAAAAAGTCTTTAAGAAAAAAAACCTCACATATTCTATTCATTTACATATCTGGAATCCATATTTAATTATAAAAAATACTCTGCCACCATCTCACACTATTTCCTTAAAAATATTCAGAAATACACCCGTCGATAGTGGTGTTTACCTTTAATCCCAACACTCAGGAGGCAGAGCAGGCAGATCTCTATGAGTTCAAGGCCAGTGTGGTCTGCAAAAGAGTTCCAGGACAGCCAGAACTGTTACACAGAGAAACCCTGTCTTGAAAAACCAAAACAGAAAAAAATTAAAAATAAAAAAAAAGAGAAACCAAAACAGACCAACAAAAATTCAAGTCTCCCTGCAATTAACACGAATAATCTATTCACAGAGATGCAAGAGAGGGTAGGGATTTAGCTCAGTGGCAGAGCTCTTGACTAACCAGACAATGCCCTCAACACAACAGGGAAGGAGGAGGATAGGGGAAGAGGGGAGAAGGCAATAGTGGGTTATCTCTTTGCACCAAATACTCCATTAGTTGCCTGCCGACCAATCTGAAAGGTGCATGATTCGATGGCAGCTCTGCCATTTGTTAATTGTGAACAACTGTTTATTCTAAACCCCAATGCTATGATCTGTAATTTAGAGACAAGGACAATTACCCCTATAGGGTTCCTATGGGGGTTTAAACTAGCTTAATGCCACAGTTTTTAAAGCTTGGGAACCACAGTTAGCACTCGGAGTTGGCTGCTTCTGTGCCACAGACAATAAAACAAAGCTAAGAACCACAACTGTTCCAGGAGAAAGCTGGCTACAGTTTCTGGCAAAGAGCTAAAGAAACAAATTGGTATTCTCTCAAGAATCTTTAGCCTTGGGGCTGTACCCATGTGAGGAGAAGGTGTGGAGAACTATGGGGAGGGGTAGCTCCGAGTTTGCTGGTCCCAACACATAGCCAAGGCTGTGGACCCGACTCGTCTCAGGAATGCAATGTTTGACTCAGTCTGGCACTTACCAACAATGCAATAGGGCTTGCTTTGAAAAATATGTACCATTACATAAATGGTTATTACTGCAAACATATATACAACTAATACACAGTGATGGATTTCTTTGTTGCATGATGGAATAGAAGAAAGAACAGAAGAGTGGGCAGATAGACCAGAGGAAGCAACATGGGGGTGACAGACAAATCACTTTAGGCTTCAAAGACAGAAAATCTGGGCTTAAAAGTTGGTTCCATCGCTTTCTTTTTGGTATGAACTTGGGCAAGCTAAATACCTTTTTGTGCCTAAGTATCCTCTTGTGTCAACATGGATGATATTAGTATCTACCTCACAAAATTATTGGGAAGATTAAATATATATGTCACTTAGGATACATACTGGCCATAGTAAGCACTAATTTTCTAATTCATAGAATGGAGACAAAATCCATAACTTCACAAGTTGTTAGATGAATTTAGTATATTATACCAATAAAATATTTACCACATGGTAACTCAATAAATATTTGGCATTTTTATTAAAACATAGATGGATAGCAAAATACTTTTTTAAACCTGAGAAAAATACTTCATAATGGAATGTAACAAAAAACACTGTGAAGGTCTTTAATTTTAATGTTGAGGGTGTTTACTAGGAAACCATGAGTAATTGGCACACAGTCATTTTCCAATGTGTAAAATACACATAAATGACTGCATCTCTTAGATCTTCCAAAGGCCTAAATCCAGAGTATAAAAGAGAGGAGGAAAAGAAGCAGAAGGAGGAGGAGGAGAAAGAGGAGGAAGAAGCAGAAGGAGGAGGAGGAGGAGGAAGAGGAGGGGGAGGAGGCAGGAGGAGGAGGAAGGAAGAAGAAAGAAGAAGTAGAAGCAGAAGCAGAGGAAGCCACAACAATTTTGAATTAATGCTCCCTTTAATGCTCATTCACTGAAAAAAGAGTAAATAAAATAGCAATAATCAAAAAAGCAAAGGCAACAACTGGGAGGTGTTCCACACACGTTAGCCACAGGGAAGTAACTAATACAGCTACATAAAAATCAGTGTCTCAGTGGTTGGGGGGTCATAGAAAACACTAAATAAATCACTTTTCAACATGAGGAATGATTTTTATATTGAAGGGAGGGAAAAAATTACACCCCACAGATGACAATTAGCTTTGAATTAAACTTCCCTTAGCTATAAACTGGAGTCTTTTCAAGCTTTAATTTTTATCCTAAAATTAACACATAGACCACTTTAACATTGGTGATGCATTCCACAGAGCCCGGCACTGGGTCACTGTGAAGCAGGCTGGACAGAGTCACTTTATTCTCTCTACCTAAAAGAAGCTAAGAATGAAATGAGGAAGGCTCCAATAAAATGATGTTTTACTGGATTTTACTAGGACACTTCCAAGGAATTCTTGGCCAACAGGAAAGAAAGATGTAAGGCTTTTATGGAGAAGTGACACATGGACCAGTTTGTATCCCAAAATAATGTGAACTAGAGTTTAAAACTATACCTGTAAATTCTTCTGGTCAGTTACCAGGGTTATCACTCATCTATCTGTCTAGGTAACATTATCTAGAAATATGAGAAATATGTGTTGATTTTAAACTCTCTAGAATATACAATAAAAGAGCAAAAAGAAATATATAATATTGTTCATTTAACTCAATATCCAAAATATTGTTGACACATTGTCTTAGGGTTACTATGATTTCGATGAAACACCATGCATGGCCACAAAGCAAGTTGGGGAGGAAAGGGTTTATTTGCCTTACACCTCCACACTGCTGTTCATCACTGAAGGAAGTCAGGACAGGAACTCAAACATGGCAGGATCCCAGAGTCAGGAGCTGATGCAGAGGTCATGGAGGGACGCTGCCTACTGGCTTGTTTCCCCTGGCTTGATCAGCCTGCTTTCCTATAGAACACAGGGCCACCAGCCCCAGGAAAGCACTACCTACCATGGGCTGGGCCCTCCCTATTGATCACTAATTGAGAAAATGCCTTGCAGCTGGATCTCATGGAGGCACTTCTTCAACTGAGGTTCCTTCCTCTCTGTTGACCCTAATTTGTCAAGTTGACACATAAAACCAGCCAGTACACACAGTCAGTATAATAATTATTGCTGAACTGTTTTATCTTTTCATAAAAAAAATTGAAACCCACAGTGTATTTTACATTTGCAACATTCTTCAGTTTGAACGAGCCGAGTGGAAATGTTCCATAGTCACACATGGCACATAGGTATGTGTGCTGATTGGTCTTTGTCAACATGACATAAACCGTGTCTGGGAAGAGGGAGTCTCGAGTCTCAGATTGGCCTGTGGAGGCATTTCCATGCTTTTTGATTAATGTGGGGGCTGAAGGTAATTGTGGGCAGTGCCACACTGGGAAGGTGGTCCTGGTAATTGTAAGAAATGTAGCTGAACATGAGGCTGAAAGCAAACCAGTGTGGCATTCTACAGTTCCTGCCTCGGCATCTGCTTGAGTTCCTGGGTGATGGAGGGTGATCCAGACACAATTGCCAAATAAGCCCTTTCCTCCCCAAGTTGCTTTTGTTCATGGTATTCATTATAGTATTAGAAAGGAAAGTAACAGGATATTATATCAGAAGGCAGAGTCTAGAATCCAAGTTCCCAGCAATTAAGAGACATGGGCTGTTTTGCTTACAGAGATAACTGTGACATAGATATAGATATAGATAGATAGTAGATAGATAGAGGATATAGAGACAGAAATAGATATACAGATATATATAAAAAAACAATCCCTCTGGTAAAAATTCTAATTACATTACTAGAACTATTAATAGAAGGCTCTGACTGTACTGAATTCAATTCTAGCCCAAATGATAATTTTGTAACATATGGTTAGTAGAAATTTCTAAGCAGACATGTACTTTTAAATATATTATAAATACATTTTACTATCAAAAAGAGTTTTCTCCTATAATTGCTTTTAAATTATTTTTTGTTTGTTTTGTTTTATTGAGACAGGGTCTGGCCGTTTAGCTCAGGCTAGCCTTAAACTTGCTTAATGCTGGGATAACAAGCTGGTGGCACCATAGTTGGCTTAAAATTATATCCTTCAACAGGAAGCGGATCAAAATACTATTAAATTCCTTTAATAAGTCAAATAAATTATAGCTTTCTCTTTGTAATGAATGAACTCTGTCTTCATCAAACATGTAGTATTCCCAAATTCCACTAGTGCTCACAAATAAATGTTTTGTTTGTCACATATTTGGTGAAACAATGTCAAATGTGGCCTCAAATGCTTCATAAAAGTTAAACTATATTCATTATTTTTAGAATGTTTGACTCCAGGAGTAATGGGATTACCTAGTATATACAAAACAGGGACCCATGGGGCTATCAAGTTGGCTCAGTGGTTAAGAGTACTGGCTGCTCTTCCAGGGGTCCTGAGTTCAATTCCTAGCAACCACATGGTGGATCACAGCCATCTGATGTACTCTTCTGGCATGTAGGCTCTATATGTACCATATACATAAAATAAATAAATCTTTAAAAAATATTTTTAAAAAGACAAAAAACAGGGATTCAGCAACTGACAGTAACCCAAGTTGGGGGGAGGAGCTTACTTTCTCTGCTAAGAGCTCTCGAATCTTGCTTGCTTGAACTCGGAATTTCATGAGTTGAGACTCCAGAAGTACACATCGTTCTTTCCAATCTACCGGGCCTTCTGGCTCAGAGATCTCTGCCATATTTCTTCTAGAAAGAAAGAAAGCAAACAGTTAAGCACACACATTTGCATTGACGATAATGCAAGAAATGCCTCCACGTACCATTGAATGCCATCCACAGATAAGTTTTAAGAGTCTACCCTGGTGGGGGCCCTCACTATCCCTGGGGAGGAATGGGAGGGTGAGCTGGGGGGGAAACATGGGAGGATGGGAGGGTGAGGGAATGGGGGGATGGATATATAAATATGAGTAGTAATTAAAGAATAAAAAATATTTTTATGAAAAAACATATATACAAAAAAAGAGCTTACTCCAAGGCCAGCACTTGCTACAGTTTGCAAAAACTAATGACAGACAAGAAGCCAGTGCTGGAAGCCACACCCAGATGCTTAACTCTGGAAGCCACCCCAGATGCTTAATTCTGTATCAGTTTACCCATGGGGGGAAAAAGGCAGATGCTAGCAATCACAGGCTTCATGGACATGCTATGAGGAATAAATAAAATAATGCTGCTTCCAATACAATGTTAGCACAGCCCAGAGAGACTGTTGAATTTTTAATTCTACCCAACAGGTAGGACTTTGTTATCTTTTATGTATTTTATGTATATGAGTGATCTGTCTTCATGCACACCAGCGGAGGGAACCAGATCCCATTACAGATGGCTGTGAGCCACCATGTGGTTGTTTGGAATTGAACTCAGGACCTCTGGAAGAGGAGCCAGTGCTCTTAACCTCTGAGCCATCTCTCCAGTCCCGGATAGGACTTTAAAAGCCTATCCACTCGTAATTCACACTCTCAGATTTGTAGACATACCAAAATGTGTTGGTACTATGATAAAATAATCTATGGAAATACCATTCCTGTGCTAAAGACTTGTGCTAACACGATAACTTGGTACCACTTTGGATTTGTGTGGGTCCAGGCTGCCTCTAAAGCCTTTATTTAACCAGAGAAGTTATTAGAAGCTTGATAAGCACATTTCCATTTGGGGTAAGAAGAGAAACAGATAAAGATGGAATATGATGTCATCTACATTTTAGTAAAACTGGACTTGGTGTTTTCTATATTAACTGTCCTTTTGAAGGAGGTTAATGGCGGGGGAAGCTTCCTGGAGAGGAGGCAGGGCCAGGCCATGGAGGCTGTCTTGCAAGCCTGACTTCAGAAACAGTCTGGACCCACACAAATCGAAGACAGGGTTTCCCTGTGTAACCCTGGCTGTCTTAGAACTCACTGTACAGACCACGCTGGCCTTGAATTCACAGAAATCCACCTGCCTCCGCTTCTGGAGTGCTGGGATTAAAGACATAAGTCTTAATGACCACCCAATGACATTCTTAATTCTTAAATCATTCAAAAAGCTATACAGAAAAATATAGACATTGTTCTACCTTAAGCAATGAAATCTATTTCGTGTTGGATAAGTTTTCCTCTACAGTTAGAATAACTTTTATGGGCATAGAAAATTCTAAGAAAAAACGCTCGAGCACACACACACACACACACACACACACACACACACACACACACACACACAATTAGAACTAGCAAGTTTTCAGGAAACATTAATATGCAAAAACCAAGTTCTACACACTAGCAAAGAAAAAACCCCAAAATTAATAAAATATTCCATTTACGTTAGCATGACAATGAGTAAAGCACTTAGGAGTAAGCTTAACAAAACTAGGATCTTCTGTATGTTGAAAACGACATGTCATCAGGGAAAGACATCAAACCTGAATGAATACAGGGTATGTTCTTGGACCACAATCTGTGGAGGTGACAAGACTTGCAAATGGATAAGCGGTGCAATAACTGGGAATGTTCCAACTCTTTATTTTTCCTTTCTGGAAATTGGCAAGTCGATCCTAAGATTCACCTAGAAATTTTAAGGCACCAAGGATAACCCAACAATCTTGAAAAGCTTAAGGAGTCACTTATTTAAACTTCCAAGCTCGAGACAAAGCTACCGTCCCCAAGACAGATGCATGAAGAGAGACATCATCAGAATAAAGTTGAGCTTGGAAATACAACATTGTGTTTATAATCAGTTCATTTTCGACAAGAGTACCTAGACCATTCAACAGGGTAGGTAATGGTATTTTCAACAAATGATATGGTACAAATGGATATCCATATGCAGAAGGATGAGTTTAGTCCCCTCCCTCATCCCAGATACACAAATTAGCATAAGATGTATCAAAGGCCTAAATGTAACCCAAAGCTCTAAAAAATCAGAAAACAGATAAATGAAACCTCATCAAAAATTTAAGAAATATGAGCCTCTAAGGCAGTGGTTCCCAACCTTCCTAACACTGTGACCCTTTAATACAGTTCCTCTTGTTGTGGAACCCCCAACCATAAAATTACTTCATTGCTTCTTCAGAACTGCAATTTTCCTACTGTTATGAATCCTAATGTAAATATCTGACATACAGGATATAATGTGATACCCACAGGGGTCTCAACACACAGGTTGAGAACCACTGCTCTTAGGACACTATGAAGAACTTGTAAAAAAAAAATAGCTTACAAAAGGGTAAGAAAAGATTTGAAAGTATCTTATAAGAGACTTGTGTCTGGAATATGTCAATTATTCAAACAACTCACTAAATAAAAAAGACAACCTGTCAGGCTTGATGAATCCCAGTACTTGGGTTGTGATTCAGTTTGAGAATGGCCTCAAACTCAGAGTTTGAGGCCATCCTGTTCTACAAAGTAAGTTCCAGGACATCCAGGGCTACATACTGAGACCCTATCTTGAAAACAAAACAAAAAAGGGCAATCTAATTTAGAATGTAGGCAAAGTTGGGGGGGGGGTAGAAGATGGCTTACCTGGCCAAGTGCTGGCCATGCAACCATGAGACCCTGATTCAACCCTTGAATGAGAAAATGCCTTTCCTCAAACTGTAGGATATTTTCTGGACTGTTGATTCACAGGGATGAACCCAGGCCATAGGAGTGGGGCAGGGCAACCCCTGGGCAAATGGTTCAGAGCTGTATAAGAAGTCCAGCTGATACAAGAGCTAGTTCCAGGACAGCCTCCAAAGCCACAGAGAAACCCTGTCTCGGGGAAAAAAAAAAAAAAAAAAGTCAGGCTGAGCAAGCCTTGAGGATCAAGTTGGCAAGTGGAATTGCTCAATGGCCTTTGCCTCAGTCCTGCCTCCAGGATCCTGCCTTGGGTTCCTGCCCTAACTTCCATCAGTGATAGAATGTGTGAACTGTAAACTGAGACAAATCTTTTCCTCCCCAAGCTGCTTTTGGTCATGGTATTTTATCACAGCAATAGAAACAAATCCTAACTAAGAGACTATATCAGAGCATGGATTATTGTTAAGACTGACTGGCCATGTTGGTTTTTAAGGATCATGGAATGAGTTTGGAACTTTAGGTTGGAAAAGTTCTTGAGCACTCAGAGCTCAGTGAACTGCTCTAGAAAGCATGGAAGATAAGAATGCTAAGAGTAGAAAAGACAACAGAGGCTAGGCTTGTGGAGTTCCACAAGGAAGTTTGAGAGAACCCTAAAGATTCTGTTGGGGTCGTTCAATACTTTGGGTTAAGAATCTGGGCAGCTGGGGCTGAAGAATCAGTTGTGGTTAGGTGGATACCAGAACCACTAAAGTAAAATCTTTGCTTTACTTGGATGATCAATTATGGATAGCTGGAGCTGAGAAATTATCAGTGATTAAGAGACCAGCACCACTGAGGTAAATTTTTCTAGGAATATTTCCTCAGGGAAGCACACAGAAACTGTGGTCCAAAGAAGGCCAAGACTACAACTCATGCTGGCATCTAAACTTGGTAACGTCACCCAGTAACCAGGTGGTACTGGTTTTGAAGGCTTTGTAGGGTCATGGAGAGCAGCTGACCCTCGGCACTGTGAGAGGCCAGAAGAGGTGGATGTTGAAGGTGCAGATTCAGTTGTAATAGATGCCCCAAGGCTGAAGTGTTCGTGGAAACAAGCTGAGGCTTGTCACCAAGTAGCAGGGTCAGAGTCCCTGGAGTGAGCCTAGGCTCACTTTGAGGTACAAGTACTCAGAGATAACCACCAAGAAACAGAAACAGCTATGGTGGAGCCAGCCTCAACCTAGGACAAATGCTTCATGTTCTCTGAATGACAGAATCAGAAGTGGAGCTTCTGAAGCCCTCTAGAGGCTGGAAAATCATGAGTGACACCAAATTTTACATGGTTGGACTCTAAGGCTGGAAAATCATGAGTGACACCAAATTTTACATGGTTGGACTCTGGTTTTGTTTGGGTTGAGTGTGACTATGCTCTAGTTCTTCCCTCATGGACTAAGAAAGTATATATATTTACTTAGTATGTACAGTGTTCTGCCTGCATGTATGTCTGCATGCCATAAGAGGGTACCAGATCTCATTACAGGTGTGTGAGCCACCATGTGGGTGCTGGGAATTGAACTCAGGACCTCCGGAAGAGCAGTCAATGCTCTTAACTACTGATCCATCTTTCCAACCTGTTATTTATTTTTATTTTACAGGTAATTACAGTTAAAAGACTTTGGATGTTTGTGGAGAGTCTTTGAATATTTTAACAATACTTTGGAATTTTAAGTGTTGACATTTTTAAAGGTTATGGGACTTTTAGAAATTGGAATATTTTATATTGTCATTAATATTAACATGGCATCTTGGGGACAACAAGAAAGGAAAGGTTGTGGTTTAATAGTGATGTGTTTTGTGTCAAGATGACAAGGCGTCAGCTGTTTTGGTTGGTTTTTCTTTTGTTTTTCTTTGTTTTGGGTTTTTTTTTTTTTTGTGAAGTTGACAGAAGCTAGAGTTATAGGAACCTCAATCGAGAAAAATGTCTCCATCCAGACTACCCGTAGGCAAGTCTGTATGACATTTTCTTTATTAAGGGTTGATGATTGACGTAAGCAAGAGAGGAAAGGTTATAGTTTAATAGTGATGTGGTTTGTGTCAGCTTTATAAAAACCTGTGTGGCCCATCCATAAGGAGCTGTGCCACCTCTGGGCAGTTCCTGAACTGGGTAAGAAAAC